TCAGAGCTAATAGCAAGCCATAGCAGAAGCCAGGCAGTGGTGGCACACACCTTTAATCTGATCACATGGCAGGCAGTCTGTGTGTTCAAGGACAGAGCCAGCCTGGATACACACGCCTTTAATCTCAATACCAACCATAGAGACCTGGAGGTCTATATAGATAGGCAGTGATGAGGAGGTTATGTGTTTGGGTTTCCAACCAATGAGAAGGCAGAACAGAAAGTCAATAAAAAGACAGACACACAGGAAGTAGGTCTCTTTCTCAGGGAAGGATGGCAGTGGCAACGGGTGATAAGAAGGCGGTTTTAGTCTCAGCTCTTAGCTACTGCTCTGACCTCTTGGGTTTTTAACTCTGCATTTGGCTCTGTGTTTCTTATTTAATAAGACCATTACATCTACAGACAATTTTGAAGGTGGTACTACAGTCCAGACCTTTGACACATGGTATACACACTCTGATGACAGATGTCCCTGTCCCTGGAACATTCAAATGGGCTAGAATCTCAGAAGCAACATAGACCATTATAATAGCATCGTGATAGGAACCTGAAGTGGTTCTTCACAATTACACCTGAAGTATATATTAGACCCTGTACATAAATTACAAGCCAATATTCCTTTAAGTGGAGTGTATCTATTTGTTCTGATCCTAGCCTTGTCACTTAAGAACTGGATTTAGACAACATAAGCAAGATGCAATGTGCTGTCCTCCTGACAATCTATCAGCTAGACAAACCTAATCTTTAGAGAAACCCACTCTCATTTCCTCATTGAAAGATGCAGATCTATTCTTCATCCAACACTAGAAATTACATTAAGTATGTATTATTTATTTAGGCAGCCCTCCTAAAAACACATAAAGAGTTTTTAATCTTTGTTTTTTAAATTCTAACTGTAATTAGAAGTAATGACTACATTGAGACTCCCTGGAATTAGCAGTGGCTAGAAGTGTTTATTACATTAAACATTAAAGAAATAGAAGACAGCAATCGTCCCAAAATGTGAGCCTGGGAGAATTCTCACAGGGTCTATATGCTTTAGTAGGATGCTCAACAAGAAGTCAGCCAGAGAAAGTATATCCTCAGGTCACACTGCCCATGCTGACTCTCTTCCTGCTGTCTCCACTGTTAGATGTCAGTAAGAGAGGAGAGGGCAGAGGAACTGTCAGTGCCATCCTTGGAAGCCAGCTTGCCTGGTCACAGAGTAAGGTCACAGTGGGGGCAGAGGGCAAATGACTACGCCCACACTTGACATGCTTTTGCCTTAATGTGAGTTCCATCAAACACAAAGGAAGTGGTCTTCCATTGTAAGTGACTATCACCACCCTTCCACTTAAGATATATTTAGAAAGCACAGCTAATAAAGTTGACCTTTAAGCAAATGAAACGAAATTCACAACACATACACAAAGTACTAATTCATATGAGGAACACTCCTACAATATTTTAGCAGCATGAACTGCCTTTGATAGAAGTTCACTGTGAAAGAATACAAAATATTTTGTAAGTGGATCATAGTATAATGATGTTTACTTTTATTTTATTTTATTTTGAACTGCAATATCACATCATTTTCAAAATGTAATCTTGATTTATTTTTATTTTTTCACAGACTTATATTTTGAAAAGATATATTTGAAAGAACTGAATGCCTCACGGAACATATTCAAAATATATTTAACAAACTAGATGGTAGTTTTAAAAAGAAAGTCATTGAAAGGACACAATTTATACCACAAACAGTAAACGGCTTTGATTCTAAGATACTGGCTTTTACGTTCATTTCTAGTATTCATCTGGCTAAAACAACAAACTGACTTACTGTACATGTGTTTTGCTTATTAGGAAATTAACCCGCTGATTTAGTTGCTGATTTTGCACGATTTATTCATACTTTAATATCTTTGTTAAAATGGATCAGATATCAAATGACAGACTTTATAATTTTTATCCATCTTTTCTTATGATTCTGTGTGATTGCCAATATCACCAAATACAAATATACTAAGCTCCATAGATGAAAACATCTTTCTTGTTTTCAGAAAAGTTTTTGCAAAGACTGAAATAAATTAGTATTGATTTGGAACACAACCAAATCCATGGTATGTCAATACATTCAGGTAAAAAGGAGAAAGAAAAAAGAAAAAATAGAGAGTGAAATCTCGAATAGATCATAGCACTTTGAAATGTGTACTTCTACTGTCCTCTTTGGACTGGCACTAGTATTCATCAACTAGTGATAATAGCATGTTATTCATTCTATTCTATATAAAAGAAGAAATTCATGAATGACAGTAGCTTGGAGTTAAAAATACTGACTTGTCCTGCCCTCCCTTAATACAATAACAATCATGAAATGCTTCTGTATGCTTCTCTCAAAGACAAGGTCGTGAAAGACAAGTTTAAGTATGTAGATGACTATGATTATGGAATGATTAAATTTGGTCTTTCTTAAAATAGATTTTGAAAACTGAGAACTCTCAGGGTTGCTGCTTAGAAAAATCAGCTCATGCTATTCTCCCATTGGACAGCAAAGAGAACGGTGCTGGATTGTTGTGCTGCCATATTTTTTCTTTATTTTATTGAAAAAAGTCACACAATATATTTTAATTATGTTTTCCTCTACCATAATTCTTCTCTCCCCAGTAATATTTCACTTGTTCATTTAATCACTAAGGAGGGATAATAGTAATCTATATAAAAAGGTTAAAATATTTAAAAAGACATCGAATATCAAATAGGTAAGTATTATAGAGTTAATCAAATGTCAATAATGAACATCATATTTTTTTTTTTATTTTCATACAGTCTCTCTCTAGTTGGTTTAGAATTTGCAGTCCTCCTGCCTCAGCCTCTTGCGTGCTGGGATCACAAGCATGAGCACACCGCACTCACATTCTCATGAACATTCCTAGTAATGTACTTACTAAAGGAGGCTGAGTGGCCACATTTCCTTCTTTCTGTGTTATTTGAATGGTTATGTTTCATTATAAATGAATAGACATTTTAGCCCCAAACAATTTTTTTCTAACTCTTCCCAGGCCATATTGAACCACAGTCTCACAGCTCTGCACAGAGTCTTATGCCTTCTCCCAGTTTGGGAAGGCAACTGAAAACCAGGGCGCTTTAAAACTGGAAACTCTTTAAGAAGACATTTACTGCCTGGGAGTTTTCAGTATGTTGAGAACTTAGATTCCATCTCTCCATGAGCTAGCTAATAGGTCATCAGGGCTACATGAAAAGCAACTTCTTTGCTTGTATATATTTGATTTCTCTGATCCACCACTAGAAATGCCTGCAGAAGAACGTGCATGGGATGGAAAGGGCTAGCTAATCCACAAGCTGGGGATTTGTGAAGCTGCTCAGAATCTAACCCAGTAGTCTTCAGGAAAGGCCCAGGAGGGAACATTATAAAAGTTGCTGCTGAGTCACAGCTGCATTCTTAGAAACGTGGGGCTAAAGCTGGTGAAAGGATGTGGTTTTGGAGATTGGAGAAAGGTCTTGGAAAACTCAATAATCATGGATATACTGCTCTGTCATCATTCCTATGCCCAGGTCCAGCTAAATTTAACATTTGGGTCAACCAAGAAGATAGATTCTGGGTCCCTTTGTTTTTTGCTTATACTGTTTTGTACCGACAGCAAGGACCATTCATATTTCCCATTTCAGCTTGAGAGGTCAGTAACAATCCCTCTCTGCCTCTGCCTGTCTTCTCCCCCCCTCCACTGAATCTGTAGTCTCTTTTCTTGCTGGATTTCCCCATTCCCTTTATCTTTCCTCTTCTGCTTTTCCCACCAGAAACCTCACAGGAAGAGAAAGAGTCAGCCCTACATGAGAGTGGATCACATCCATGAAAACAGAGCAGCCTTTCACAATCCGAGGCAATGCTATGGTAACCGAGCCCTGCCCAGCGCTCCCGACTAAGATTCAAGTGCAAGCCTCCAGCAAGCACAGGTGGCGAGTGTCAGTTTAACCCCTTTCTAACCCCGCCGTTTTCAACACGCCGGACCTCTCATTAGCCGTACAAAGTACCAAATTCCAACCTCAAATCTCATGCCGTTAAATTAACAACATCACACTGCTGTGTATGGTGTGAATGTCTCCCATAACTTTACACGGGAAACACTCTTCAGGTTTCATTGACCCGTTTAAAAATAGCAGACTCTAATTGGAAACAGTCTCTTCCCCCCGACACCGGCATACTATTGTGAACTCTCACTAATATCCCTGCTCAGTGCTAGGTAAATATTTTTCTACAAACACAAATAAAATTCAGTTTAATCACAGGTTTTAGAAGTCACATTTGTCAAAAGATGATGTTTGTTTTGAAACAAATCAAACAGAAAATATTCCTTAGAGCTAAAGTGACAAGCCACAATCTGTTCCGTATAACAATGGCCATCTATTTTTAAGATAGAAATCAAATTTTCCAGTGTTTGTTTTGACTTGAAGATTGCCCAATAGATTATTACATCCCTGCCCAATGAAATTTCTTTTTCTTGGGTGGGTGGGAACTAAGCATGCCCAACTAACACAATTTAACATCTTAAAATGATGTGGCAATTTTAAATGTTTTGATCAATTTGAGAATGATCATACTCATCCCCCTTCTCCAACCTCCTGTATCTCACAGTTCCTCACTCATCCTTTACCCACCGTTCATTCCCTCTCTCTCTCTCTCTCTCTCTCTCTCTCTCTCTCTCTCTCTTTCTCTCTCTCTCCTTATTGAATCCAGTGATGTGACAATTTTTTTTTAAAAAAAATGGATGTCTTCAAACTTTGCCACTTAGTAACTCAAGAAATAAAGTAAAACATAACTTCTAGAAAAGATGCCTACAGACCACTTTAAGTCCACACGAAGTCCCAAGTAGTATCATTGTGCTCACTAAACAAGGAATGGTTCTTTTGTACACAGCTGAAACACTCGAACTACACAGGCACACCAGTTCAGTTTTCACACCAGTTCAGTTCTGACAGAAGTCACGTCATATTTAAACTCACCGCTGGATGTAAGGGTCGGGGCAGTACTGTAGGGTGGCACACCGTGGAGTTTCAAAATTCATTTCCTTCAACTCTCTTTGGTACCAACAGATGGGGAGCAATTCTATAAAATACACACATACACCTGAGGATATCTAGGTATGGAGCCAGGAGGCTGAAAGCAATCGGGTCAAATGCCATCAGACATAGAAGTTTAGACACTTCCCCCTTTCACTCAGATTTGCAAAGAGGCGGGGCGTTTCTTCCTTTCAGCCAATGAGAGCCCTCAAGTGACTAGAGCATCATAAACAGTCGATTCTTACCAGCTGGGCATCCTCTCTAAAGCTGTTCTTCCTCTCTGCCACAGTCTGAGAGCCCCTGACGTAGAGTGTCCACACTTGTTGCCAATTTGTAGGCATCTCCGAACTTTTGATCTTGCTCGTGATTGGGTGTTGGCATGAATGGCATCAGAGGTTAATCTCAGGAGCCAGGACTTGTGTTACTGAGCTAATAAATGTCCCCCTCGCTCCAGCTGAGTAACACCACCTTGTATCTGGATCCTGACTTGATTCGAGAGCTTCTGTCACTGCTACTGGGGCTAGAATGTTTTGCAGAGACGCTTAAGAGAGCTTTTTTTTTTTTCCGTCTTCTCCCTCCCCTCCCCCCTTCAGCCTCCCTTTCAGCCAACCGCCTGTTGTGGTCACAATCTCAAATAGCAAAGACAGGGAAATTCCTTGATTATATTTAACCTAGAACTCACTCTTCATTTCAACTAGAGAGAGAGTTATCATGCCTATGTCCCTAGAATTTTTTTCTGCCCCAAATAAAATAATCTGTACAGATTTATTTTATCCACCCATCCATGAGTAATAGTATTTTAAATGTGCTATTAAAATAGGAACTGATACTTTATTTTACAATGGTTTTGAATTATTTTATTATTTAGGTATTTATTTAGAATTATTTCAAATTGCCTGTCAATGGAAAATAATGAAGTTTATTTCAAACTCTATCGTCTCTTGTGTCTCATATTTGCTGCCTTTAATCTCCTTTGACCTACTTTGCTATGAAATCTAGCGTTGTTCATACATTCAAGAATTAATATATTATCAGACAAAGTTACCATGAAGATTAATTTGTTTCCTTTCTGAATGTAGGCTGTAAACCGATCCTGGTCCTGTGGATTTAGAAATTGAATGAAATATGATTCAGAAGCTAAATAGGAATAGAGTCCAACAGGGAAATAAAAGCTGTGTGCCCGAGTGTCACTGACAAGGCAAGAAGACACCTCCATTCATGTGGCAATCATAGACACCTGCAAACCAGTGACGTCAGAAAATGTCAAAGTTGTGAGACAATCCAAAGTGAAAGCTGACATTTTCCTGTAAGAAATTCTGGTTTAAAATGTGTTCATAAAGATGTTTTATTTGTTGCTCCAGCCAGGGAGAAGCTATTTAAAACTTGACATTCTCTTCCTTTACTCAGACTGAGAGTGTCTAACATCTGTGAATTGTGAAACTCGCACACATGCTGGCCTGAGCCCCAGCCAAATCAGACAGCTTGCTCTACAAAATGTGAAACTTGAAGCAAAGATCATTTCACTAATTAATTATAGATTTGCTCATTGGAATTGAAGTGTTTGGCTTTCTTCCTCTCAGCAAAGACAAATGACCGAATTCACAAAGTTTTTAAATTGAGAATAAGCAATGTCCTGTGGCCATGGCCATGGGGAGGTTCCATCACACAGCGCCTGTCTGTTCCTAGTTGTAAGATGAGTCTTTGGAGGCAGAGGTGGGATGACCTCCTATTCAAAGACAGCCTGAACTGTCCTTAAAATACATGAATGGGGGAATATAGTTTAGTAGCAAAGCACGTGTCTAGTGTGAAAAGGCTCAGATTCAGTCCTCAAACTTTGAAAGTAAGGAAGAGTAAGACTGCAGTTTCAAGTGTAGAATTTCCTAAATGTTAATAGGCCTATGAGTGACTTGGAATTCTTGTCCATGAAGAATCTGGATCTTTAATTCCAGGGCGGGGTTTGAGATTACACTTCTAACCCTGGGGTTATTATGCCAGGCTGTCTGACCTGAGGGCTAAATTCTCAAGTGGTAAGATCTGTACTCACTGCTGGTCAGGTATTTATAATTAAATGCTTGCTGAAAAGAAGAAGGAACTTATTGAAGTATTTTACAATGACTTCCAAAGTCATAGACTTCCACATAATCAATTTTCAAACATCTTTTATGAGTATTTTTTGTTTACAAGGTTTATGGCTTAATTTGAAAGGTTTATGTTTAAAATAATTTAAAGTACATGCCATTCCATCAACAGTTGTTACAAAAAAAATTGCTAAATTTGTTTGGGTAAATACGACATTATTAGAGGACAACAAATTCTATAGAAATAATTATGAAGGATATTGGCTCCTACTGATTAATGGAAATAAACAGAGTTGACCTGATTTAGAGAAAAGCAAACTCCCCAGGCAGGATTCAGCAACACATCTAAAGCATATGAGCACCGAGGACCTGAGAAAATCTGTGACAGTTATTGAGTAATTAATATACCTGCTTCCCATCTGTATTGCCTCACTCCCCCAGATTAAGTTACTCCCCCAGATGTGTAAATTATTTCTTTGAGATACAAGTTAGAAAATTTTATGAGAGTTTGAAGTCTTTTATTCAGAAAGTGTAACAGACTAACCTACATGGACACCTAGGAGAAGGTAATGAATGGCCTTTCCAACCTACATGCTTCAGAGATGCTTGTGAACATCCTTGATTTGTATGAAGAGGGGATAAAGAACACAGGGAAACAGCAATGTTCAGGATGTGGCACTCTGGATGTAACGTGACAGGAAGAAATGCCTTCCTTCTCAGCTTCTAGCAGCCGAGATTGTATCTGGCCTGATTCAGATATTCAACACACAATCTCTCTCCTAAGTCTGTGACATTTATCTTACAAGTGCCTTGCCTTTCTGGCCTGGGCTGCAAACTTTTATCATTATCCTGCTTTGGATCATTTTTTTGTTTTCCACCAGAGATGTTCTCAAACCTCCTCTGTATAATCTTCAAAAACCAAATGACTCCTTTGTCTCATCAGATGGGAGGAACTGACTTTAATCTCTCATGGCCTAAATTATTACATTCAACTGCTCTGGTTAGAGTATAAAATGTCCATTACAGGCTCATGTAATCTAATCTCATTTTGAGAGGTTTTTTGACCTTTGAGAGGTGGAGCCTAGTAGAAGGAAATGATTCTTTGGGCCATTGGCTTAAGGATTTATAATCTAGTTCCATTGCCTGTTACACCTCTGGCTCTCGATTCACCTAGATGTGAACAAGCAGCCTCATGCTCCTGTCGCCACAGCTCACGCTCTTCTTGCTACTGTGCCTTTGCATCTTGATTATGAGTCTCATCAAGACAGGGGAAAGAAAGGGTTCTGCCATGCAAGGAGAGAACAGTAAGTGCAGGGTGCTGGAAAACAGATGGTGCCATGAATAGCTTAGCGCGGATGACCTTCTGTGTTCCTCCAGTCATGGCAGTTTGTGACTGTGGCCACTGTAATCAGAAAAGCTGAATTCAGAACAACTTGACCTTAGGAGCCATCCTGTCAAGCTCGTTATGGCCTATACCACTTCAGACTATGGGAACCAAGAAGGAACCTTCTAGAATACAAGGTGGAAAATTTACCAACTATCACTACATGAAGGGACAGTTGAGTTCAACATTTTTCAGCATGTCACCTCAGTTCAACCACAGATTATATTTATTGATGGAGAAAGCAAGGCTTGCGTTGGGAAGAGGGTCTTACAAACCCTCCCCCCTTGCGCTCCATATTTCTTACAATCGTTACAATCTGATGTCTAGGTAGAGTAAAGCTAGAACCAGAATCACTGTGTACTGATAATGGCAAGTATTAATTTAGTGGAAAAAAAACAACATTGCAGACCTAGCTCTGGTCCTTGGATTTGACCTTGAACATCTTGCAGGTCCTGCAATCCACCAAATGGAAATATTTCTACTTGAACCCATGACTAGAGTCTATTCAGAAAAAAGAAAAGGCTTCAGGGGGTTGTCCCAGTGAAAGGGAAGTTTTGATTCAGAAGGCATCCAAGGAAACACAGACGCCAATTAAGCTGGGAGGAGGTTGGCAGGTTCCCTAACAGATAAACCTGATACCCTCTAAGTCACACCCAGTGTCCAAAAGCAATGTGGGTGGGCTTCTCCTCCAGACATACCCGAACAGCTGTGTGGGGGATGCTCCTCACTCCCACCCCTCCTTCACTCAAAGTCCACGTGAGTGGGAGATAAATAAGGAAACACAGGAAGAAGTCCTTATTTGGTACTGCCCAGATTTGTTTTTCCGGAAGCATCTGTTAGATGCAAGACAAGATGTGCCTTTCCGCTACATGTTTCAGTGTGTGTTTCCTAAAGGAAGAAATCCTTTACATAATCACGGTTCAACCCCAGACACCACGAAATGCACATCCTGGACGTTTCTACTCTCTGCATCCATTTAAAGTTGCCTGTTGTGCCAATCATGCCTGAAAAGTGACAGAAAAGCCCTGGTTCACGCCTTGGCCTGTTTAGTCTTCTCTCACTGCGAACAGTCCCTTCAGCTGCCTCACGACACGGCTATTTGGAAAGCTGACAGGCCAGCTGCCTAGTTTAGTTTTGGGGGGACAGTTTCTCCTGGGTAGATTCAGTTACTCACTTTTTCACTTTTTGGCCGAAACGGCTTGAAATCAACACTCCATGCACCGACTCAGGGATTGTGTGGCTTTGAAAACACCACCAGTGGATTTTCCCCAATTTAAAACTCTGAGAAGCAGATCATTTTGAAACTTATACAGTAACTTCAAGACCTCCGGAAATTCCTCTATAGTTTGTTTACAATATTATATATCACTAGGAGACATATACTTGTGAAATATTGGAATCCTGGTCTTTTTACACCATTGCCTCTCTCTACTTTATTTCTGTGTTATCACCTTCTGCCCACATGGTCTTGGGAAGGAGGAGGGGTGGGATTTTTAAGAGTCGCCCAAAGGCTGTTTGAAGAGGGTAAACTTTCAGCTGGGCTTGAAAAGACCCAGTCAAATCGTTTTCAGTTTTGCTTGTGAAGAAATTGCTGCTTTTCACCCTGGTGTGTGAATGGTCACTGAGCATGTTCCTCCTGCTCATAGGTTGGTTTCTGGTGTGTGGAGTCATTAGAGGCTCAGGCTGGAGGTTACCACAGGATCACTTTGGGAACCGGTAGGAAAATGTCTGTAAGGCTCCTTTATCAGGAATGTAAAATGGTACAGGAAAATCAGTGACTTCAGTATTTACTTAAAACTCAAATTGCTTTCTACTATCCAATATATGAATACTTTCAGTATACATATTATATATGTTTGTATGTATTATATGATATACTATTATACATATACTGTACATGATATGGTTGTGTTGAGAAGAATATATGAAATAGAAATTATATTAATTTTGGTGAACATAAACACACAAATCTGTGAAAAGCCACAAAGAGTAAGGATTAGCTGTCAAGTTTCAAGTTGGCACCATAGAAGAAAAGCCTAGGGAAGATTCTTTCCAGCTCCAGGAATCTAAGACTCTATGGCTATTAACTTCTTAAAAGCTATTTAAATGTTTGATCCACCTATGTATATAACTATATAAAGTCATTTTCTTCTAAAAGTCATGCTTATAAAATGCTTATAGATTAGAAAATACATGTGTGGTTTTATTAGGGTTTGGGGGGAGGGGTAAGTTGGGCAGTTGTTTAACAGGCATTGGATTTCAGTTTTGCAAGATGAAAAACTTCTAGAGATCAGTTACATGACAGTGTGGCTATATTTAGCTCTACTCAACTGTACATGTAAAAATGATGAAGGCAGTGAATAGTATGTATAATTTTGCATACTGTATTTTAAAAATTAAAAATATGTGTAGATAAATGATGAAATCAATAGTCAGCATAAACATCAAAGAAAAGAAAATCAGAGAGCATTTCTTCAGAAATATACATAAATGTCTATAAGGGTCTTGAATTTGTGATCTTCTAAGGAGGATTTTACAAAATTTTCTATCGAAGCAATACATTAGATTTTTGTTATGCATCATATATTCTAGGCATATAAAATATGAATGAGAGCTAGGGGTGTGTCTCAGTCAGGTAGTACAGTATTTGCTGTACAATGATGCAGACCTGAATTTGACCCTCAGAAGCCAGGTAGAGATGAACATGGAGGTGGACATTTGTAACCCCAACCCTAGGAAGCAGGAGACAACAAGATGCTCTGTGAGGTTCAGCCAGCCTACTCTACTTGGTGAGCTTTAGGCCAGAGTTCCAATTTTTTTTTTTTTAAAAAAAGAGGGGAGTGGACAGGTTCTGAGGAGTGACACCAAGACTGTCTTCTGGTCTCTACCCATGTGTGCACACACATAAATTTACACACTCTCAAGTACACACACACACACACACACACACACACACACACACACACACACACTGTTGAGATGACGTGTAAAGTGACAATTCCTGCTGTGTAAGGAGCTTAAAGTTCCCGAGTCTAACATGCCTGTTTGTTCACTTGCTCACGGTACGTCAGTGACCGTGGTTGATGTCATGATATGATCTGAATTTTAGCAGGGTTCTCATGTGATTCCCTCAGAGCATTCATTTATGTAACCACTGATTCATACGGTCAGCACAAATATTTCCTGAAGTTCTCCTTTATGTAGGTATCAGTGTGCTGGAAGCTTCTGGTAGCAGCCAGATCAATAAGAACCAATCCCTGGGTCTAAGTGGCTCCCAGAGCTCTTGAGAAGGACTTTCTTTCCCTTTTTATATCTTAAGTTTTCTACACAAAGAACACAATGTGTTACCATAGTAACTCAGTGTCCACCACGATCCCTTTAAATGCAGGTAAACTATCCAAGTTTTGTATTGTTCCTCTTTCTTGCTGCTGTGTTTGTGTTACATCTTCCTCACAAAATTTCATCTTATTTAATGTTGGTGAAAGTTAAAAAAACAATGAAGTGAAAATGGCTGGGAAATGGCTCAGCGATTAAGAGCATTTGCCTGCACTTCCGAAGGACATGGGTTCAGCTCCAAGTACCAATATGGCAGCTCACAACTGTCTGTAACTCCACCTCTAGGGGATCCAACACCCTCTTACAGGCATACATGCAGGCAAAACACCAATGGACATCAAATAAAAATTAATAAATCATTAAAAAATAAGTGAATAAAAAAATAGGTAACACACACACACACACACACACACACACACACACACACACACAGACACACACACACACCTGAGTTACTGATGGCCAATTTGCTTGCCTGGATTTTGGTCTGGGGTAAATGGTACCTGATTGGTACTGATGAGCCAAGAAGATGTTTGCTATAGCTAGCGTCCATGTAGCTCGGGTGTTAACAGGAAGAGAATGCAGCATTCTTAATTGTCTTTCTGAGACCAAGAGACCACTTGTGGCAGTTTCTCTCTCTAAATAGACATCCACTTCTACCTTGTTGCTTCAGTATTGTTCCTGGGGAAACCCCAAAGGCCATTATTTTGGCCCAGAATAAAGGTAGGTATGACCCAAGATCTGCATATTCCAAAGCCTGTGGCAACAGTTTGTCTCTTTGGTATGTAGGGTCCTGAAAAACAATACCTATAGATCACAACTATGAAAAGAACAAGAAACACTTATGAATTCCCAGTTTTGAAAATCAACTATATTTAAAGTTTAAGAGAATTTAGAGTTCATTAAGTGAAAGATAAAAAAAAATAATTCCAGCAAGCAAGATAATTTAAAAATAACAAAACTTTCTATGATAGTTTATATTTTACAGGATATCCTTGAATTATTACCTCATCTCAAGTTTCTAACTTTTCAGTGAAGTTGAGGCTGAGACAAGTAGGGTCATCAACTCCCTTTTACACGAGAAAACCAAGAATTGGTGTATTAATCAATATCAAAATGATATCCTTTAATAATCAGCAGTAATCCTGGCCTATAATAGACCCAGACTTGAGACTTCCATCTACTCAGGAAAACAACATTAATTAAATGCCCATAGTATTCTCAGTAGTATACAGGCCTTTGGCAAAATAAATGTCAATAAAACAAGTGCTTTTGACTAAATAGTTTATGTTCATTGCCCATTTATGTAAATGCCAAACACCCCGGTCATGTTTTCTCCCCTTGAAGTGGGGAACAAAATCTGGGGAGTGTGCAGTCCAGAGAGCAATGGAGCCAGAATCTGAACTCAGGTCCAGCTGTTTCCCTAACATCAGCATCACACTTTGACAATCCTGGCAAGATCCAGAATGCTTCCACATGCATCTTCCATCTTGGAGGCCTAAAAAATGGTGCTAGCACATGTCCCTTGGGTTCTTTTTCTGATCCAGGGAGTCTACAATACCCTAAGCCCCACAAATACCATCCTCCAAATGCAGGGATGAGCTCATAGTGAGCACCCACATTTGGGCTGAGAGTCAAGAATGTTAGCTCTGCTTGTTTTGAAATCGGGTTGTGTGCACTGTTTAAATATGTGGAGGTGGACGGACTGATAAACTGCTTCTGTGGGCTGGAAATAATTCTCAGGGCATCCTTACAGGGATATCCCATGCAATGACCCCGATTGAGTATTGTTTACAGCAACGCTTTCCTGCCAAGTTTCTTTCTTTCTGCTTTCTGAAACTTTATTAAAGGAAAAAATAAAACATGGTAAATCTCTTGGGATTTCTCCCTTTCAAATGTGACAATTGACTCCTAAACACATGCGGTGCACTCTTCCCGTCATGCTAAACAGATGAGTAGCTGAAATCCTGGGATGCTCATCTTCCAACTTGTCCCAGTCTGTGGTCTGTCTTTGGATCAACAATTGCCCGACAACTCCTGCTACTACGACGATGTCATTAATTTTTGTCGGTAGCTCTCTGAGCACGTCTATATGCAGGAACTGCAGAATCTGAGCAGCTTCATGAAGAACCACATTCCCTGTGTCAAAAGCAAGAATGTTTGTCTAAAAGAGCAACAGGCAAGCCCTCTTCTGTTCCATTTGCTTTAGTAACCGTATCCTGTGTTAGACTCTCCAGAACCAAAATGTGAATTTCTTTAAGCATTACCAAGTAATCATCAAGACACCGAATCTGAAGGAAGTTAGCCAGAGCCATTACACGAGCCTTAAAATCTGGATTATTGACATCCAGGTTGACCAATGGCTCTCCACTTTTATCTGCATTTTCAGTATTTTTCCTGTTATCAGGTACTAATTCCTTTTATTTTATTTTTTAGCACTATCTCCATATTCAACTCTAACGGATAAAACAAGGAGATAGTCAGTTGCTTCTTGCTGACCTTGAATCTTGAAAGGACAATTAACATCTCTGAGTTACCTTTAGAAGAACTTGGGTCAGTCACTGCTCTGGATGTTACCTCTGTCTTCGATCCTCTAGCGTCTGATTTTCTGGTCTTCAAGCCAAACAATAAAGTTTCTAAATCCTGTTTCATCTTTGTAGTTGAAGCCCCTGGGATTGTAGAAGGCCATGAGTTTGTGTCCAAACATGGCCCTGCTCTAGCTGTTTGAGGCTCTACATAGTGAACTCCAGGCTACCCCGGGTTACACAGTATGACCCTGTCTCAAAAAAGAAAAAAAAAAAGAGGATATTTCTTGAGGCATGTAGAATATTTACAGTTCTAGTTGAAGAGGGGGAGCTTAATTGCTGTATATTTCACTGACATTGACCTGGGAAGACCTCCTTTGGAGAGACTCCCATAAGTGCTAAATTCATGTTTTTGCTATATGCAGATAAAACAGTAGGGCTGTGGGGTTGTTACTAAGCTATAGTGACACCCCAGGAAGAGATTGGGAAAGGAGGATTCCTAACACGCAATTAAAGGGTGAGTATAGGAAACAAATGGTCTCTTCATCACTTACGAAGAGTCAAGAGCCTCTTCACAAAAACAAACAATGCAAAGCTGCAGCCTGAGAACCCAGTGGTTGAAGTCACAGAGCTTAAGAAACACCAGGCTCAATGTAGATGGCTGCAAACACCTGTTACCCTGAACTAAAGGACGGGACCTTGAATAACCTCCAATACTCAATCGTTCAGAATCTCCTAAGCTCTCAGAGACTGCTTGGGGTGGACCACCCTTCCCTCATTCGAGCTAAGACTTCATCTTGCTGAAATGCTGGGAAAGTATCCCTGCAGCAGTCACCCACAGCATGAGTGCCTTGACTTTCTCGTGAGGGCCGCAGCCTCCTACCTAAGGTTAAAATTCCAACAGAACAAGGAAGGAGACAAGGAGACATTCTAGTCATAATAAAAGGAAGCACAGCAATCAGAGAAGTGGCCAGAATTTAGTAGCATATACCAGCTGAGGATAAAGAATCCTCAAGGTTGCATATTGAGGGTACTTCACTGAAGGGGCTGAAAAATAAGGCATACAAGAGTTTGGTGACTTGCACACATTTTCTCATGGGCTTCAACACCCTGCTAAGGACTGCCATGGACAGGGTAAGCCTACCACTATTAGGGTAGCTTGCTCTAGAAAGTCTAATGGAGATGATAACCAATGCTGAACAAAGATTGTTGCGTGAATTTTCCTAGAAGAAAGAAAAAACAGAATAAAGAAACTGAACACACTAAATTGGATCAATGAGGGCAAGAGATCTAATGAGGGGAGATGCAGATGGGTGGGCCAGCAAAGCTATCAGGAATGTGGAAGATAGGGTTGCAACATCAGTGAGACTCTCAATGTTACCTCTCCTCTGTAGCTCAGGCCTGATGATAGGAGACAGATCGGAGCTGGGCTTCTTCCTGTCTATTCATGGAGAGGGCATCCTTCTACTCTCACCAGTAAGAATCAAACGGTGCTCATTACCTGCCAGATAGCAGAAAGCTGTAATTGTAATAGTGAAAAGCAAAAAAGCTTAGAGATGCTGCCAATGGGCTTGGCCTGCAAGGAGCTATAGAAATGTCTAGCCAAGAAGTTACATTCTTAAGGATATGACAAGTGGCCAACAATGAAGAGTACATCTTAACATGTAAAACCAGACAAAAGAGAGTGGACTGTGTGAGGCTGAGAGATGCTGTAGAAATATCAACATGCATTTCATTGATTCAATCCTTGACCTGAGCCCATTTTTAGACTCATAATTCATTAGTTTAAGTGATATCTTAGTCTTTAGAAAAAAATAAAGAAATTTAATCTGACATTGCAATACAATGTTCTCATCCACAAAGTTCACACCTGAGAACAGTTGTAAACTTAAGTTACAAAAATATTTGCCCATAACCCTCTCACAATGCTTTAAGTAAGCTTATAGCTCGAAGACTGCAGGCCTCTGGTTAAGCATGCCTTTATGCTCTGCAAATGTATGTCATGATGACTGGTCTAGGCTTCTCTAAATAAATCTATGGGCAAGGATGCTCAGAGAAGTGCACTAGGCCCTACTGTTAGCAGGGCTTTTTATACATGTATGGCTCCATAGGCAATGGCTTGAAATATTTAAAACAGAGTTCCTACAGAAAGCACTTTACATTTTCATTTGTACTGGCCATGCCAACTGTGTAGTTAAACGGATGTATAGTATTACTTGAGTGACGACATTGAACACGGAGGGTCTGAGGTGAGAATGGACTTTTGTTGGAGTTCAAGATCACGTGGATACACATCAAACAATGTTGATTAAAGTCTAACTTGTTCACTGTATCTGGAGACCCATCCTGTGGTCATCTTTCCAGTTTCCAAGTATTCTATTGGAATAGTAAAATCAGCAGTGTGATACCTACGCTAGGATCTTAGCTTGTGAACTAAGAGCTTTCAGACTAGAAAAAAAAGTACAAAAAAACTCTTTATTGCTCTATTCTCATTCATCCAGAGTTGAAATTGAGAAGAAATACCATATTCTGAAGATGGTAGATATTAGTTTCATCATATGATGGCTGAAAGCTTAGGTACACAGAGAGCATGCTTACTGTGTCTCTGTTAATGTCTCAATGTGGTCCCCAAAGTGTTCAGATGGATCTCAGAGACCAAATATTTTATAATTTCAATTCAATAGTTCAATAATAACCTATGTACAACTTCTATGAGGTCTTTGCTTGTTTATTTTGTTTGTTTGTCTGCTTTACCTTCTCCAAGAAAATAGACAAGGTTTCAGGTTCATGCAGCCATTGACTTGAGGAATACATTCTTGTTTAATCTGATGGTAGAGGAGCATCAGAAATAATTCACATTTGTGTGGAATGTGTAACAAAATGTATTTATAGTTTTACCTCAGGGTTATATGAACTCTTCTTTGTTATATTGCACACTGAAAATATCTGGGTTGGTCATTCAACCCATAGCACATCACACTGCATGTACTGATGTTCCCTTACACCAATAGCATGCTGATCAGGCAGAACAAACAATATATGGCTTTTATGCAGGAATTCTTGATAAGACAGCTATGAGTCCACATTTGTCAAAGGATGGATCAGTGGTTCTCAATCTTCTGTGTTCTGTGACCCTGTAATATAGTTAGTTCCTCATGGTGTGGTGACCCCCAACCATAAAATTGTTTTTATTTCTACTTCATAACTGTAATTTTGTTATGAATTGTAGTGTAAATATCTTTGTTTTTACAGGGTCATAGGCAATTCCTATAAAAAGGTCATTCAATCCTCAAAGGGGTTGCAACCCACAGGTTGAGAACCACTGGAACAGAGGATAAGCTCCAGGAAGATTCTAGAACCTGGAACTTGAATGAAACCTTTAGGAATACATGAGTTAGGACTTTGCAGATTATGCCTTCTGAAGGAGAAGGAAAAGAAAGACTATTGTATCCTGAATTACTTATCACCATTCAGGAAACAGCTTTGTATCAGTTCTGAGCTCTGGGGGCAACACTTCCCATGGCTATTTATAGAGTTCTGGATCACATGCTGAGTGACAATAGAATTCGAGTGCACTGTGGCAAAAGACGCAGCTTGGAGCTAAAGGAAAACACATTGGAATAATCATGATGTGAACTTTGACTTGCAAGGGTAAGCTCAAGCCATATTTACCGGGAAAAATAGTCCACTGGTTAAACTGTGGCAACATTGGGAAGGGGAACATGAAGCAGTCATGTGTGGAACTGCAGTTATTTCCATTTTTCCAAGGAATATGATGCCTCGCAGCCAGTCACCAAAAGGCAAAAATATTACACCCAGATGGATCCTAGAGGGACAAGAGCTTGGTCAACTACATGAGTGGTCACCCACATATCCATTATCCATTCAAGTTTACCAGGGATCCTCTCCTAATATTCACTTGAGTTCAAATAAAAGAGATGGAGGAAACTTGTCTACACCCTTCCACCTAAGATGACCAACCACATATGCAGCAGAGTTTGGTCCTTCATGGATTTTATTTTCTCTTTGAATATTTATCTATTTATCCAGACTGGGGATTGAACTCATGACCTCATGTATGCTAGGCAAGTGCACTAGCACTGGCTGATAACCTTTAAGAGTTTGGATTGATTATCTATTATACTGAATAAGTATGTAACCTTGGGGATCCATGGAGTAGCTTAGTAGGAATCTGTTAGAAGGAAGTTATCTGGATATTTAAGTTTGCATTGACTTGCTTTGGAAAGCGTTCAAAGGATTGTGTGTTTTTTGCACTTTTTTTCCTGTACAAGGCGAGACTGCTCTGTGACTGGGTATTGTAATCTAAACTATAAGACAGGATAGGATGCAAGACTCAAACTATGGGCTGAGGATGAAGCTCAGTTTGGAACGGGCTTACTTAGCATATATGAAGTCCTGGGTTTGATCTCCTATACCCCATAAACAAGGTGTGCAGGTGCAGGTCTACCATCTCAGGACCTGGGAGGTAAAGGCTGGAGAACCAGAAGCTCAAAGTCCTCCTCAGCTACACAGTGAATTTGAGACTAGACTGCAATACACAAGGCTCTGATCCAAAAAGCAAACAAGCAAAAATAAATTATATTATTCTGGGATAAAAGCATCAGAAATTACCTTAACTGAGATGGGGGATTGAAGTAGCATGCGTCTTGACTATTCTAAGTAGCTATAAACTGACCTTATTTCACCTTGTGCCATCTTAGGACTGCAGGCATCTTGGCTGATGATGATTGTCACATTGTGTTTAAGTTTCCTAGGATGACAGGAAGGCCTGTGTCTGAGTCCCAGGACAGTTCTACGACACCAGGGTCAGCTATAGGCACAGAACGTTGCGGCTTTCATGAGGTGTTCATTGTCTCTTTGAAGCTCAGCCTTGGCTATGCATGGGCTACCTTCGTATGTGCATGCAGGTAAATGGCAGCAGCTTTTCAGAACATTTCTGGATGGATTTGGAAGATACAACAGCCAGAAAATAATCTACAAGCAGTGAACCTAGTCACCCACTTTGTGAGAAAGAAAAGTTCCCTGAAGTAACAAAATAAACAGAGTATGGACACTGACCTATGGCCTGGATACGTTGTCAGTGGCCAAGACAGAAAGGGAGGGAAGGATTGGAGACGGTGCCGTCAAGAAACTAGATATGCGAACACAGAAATCCAAGGTGAAGATTCTAGTGTCATGTGCTCATTCTTGTCAGAACCCAGGAAGAAACACTGACAAAGTACATATACACAATTATGTCAGCATAACATCTCAGCACCTGGAAAAAACAGAAATCATGTGAAATTAAAGGTAGGGGAGGAAATGGTGTGAGAAATTCAGATTAAATAGCTAGGATTAAATAGCCTTTTTATAACTTGATTTTTTTCACTTTTATTTTATGTATATTAGTGTTTTGTCTGCATACCTTGTGCATGCCTGATACCCAGAGAGGCACCCAGAAAAGGGTATCAGCTTCCCTAGAACCATAGTTACAGATGATTTGGAGCTGCCATGTAGGTGCTGGGAACTGAACCTAGGTCCTCTGGTTGAGCAGTCAGTGCTCTTAACCACTAAACTATTTCTCCGGCCCTGGGGGAGAGCCTTTCTGGAGAGGTGCTCTTAAGACTGAGAAAAAAGAGCTCATCTGGAGAGTAGGAGAAAGAGCATGACCGGAGAAGAGAGTCAGGCAGGGCAGGACTGGGTCAGGGGGTTGAAAGCAGAGTTCACGTGGGCCAAGGTGACTGAAAGGAGATGGTGTCAGAGGAGATATTTCTTCAGGGATGAGATACGCCAGGATCTTAATCAAAGATTAATGGAAAATTTTTGAAATGCTCTCACCAGATATGTGACATGATCCAATTAATGCATTTTTTAAATAAAGATTCTGGCTTACCTGTAAGTCAGGAACGGGGTAGGAGGATCAGTTAGGAAGCTCCCCTGATAGCATTTAGATAACAATCCAAATCATACAGGACCTCACCTGCCTTGTGAATGGGTTACATTGTCTGTCCCTGTGTAGGTAGTAGTTGAGGGGGTGGATGACACATCCTTTTTCTCACAGCTGACATTCCAGTGGCTGACACTCTGTGACCTTCTCATTCTCCAAAACAGATGTGGCCTAGAATGCTTCCAGTTCAGCAAGAGGAGTACTGGGGTAACATTACTAGACTATGCATCTCTCGGCTCTTCAAATATCTGCCCCCATATCACATCTTTGGAATGCCAAGTTTTATTTACTGGCTTTTGTTGCTAATATGACAGTGAAGCAAATCGAGAGAGCAAAGCAACTAATGGAGATTCAATCTGTACAGTTGCATGCAACCTATGCATGGGGTTTCTCACAGTGGATGAAAGCAAGGAAAAAGGAGGAGTAAGTTCTCAACCTTGACCGATAGAATTGCCCGTGTGTTATTAGCACGGGGCAAAATATGACAAAGGAACACAGAGTCCTCAAGAACACTCATGACCACCACAGTCTATCACATTGCTACCTTAAAAGCCATCAATGGGTAGCAATGACACATGATTTAGTGACTTTTCTTGGGAAGACATGAACAAACCTATTCATCCCAGATAGGGCACCTATGATAGACCGAAGAAATGATGGCACCCAAGTCTGGTTTAATGAACCAGTGAGTTTATTAGGGTCACTTCAAGGAGTCTGAGCATTTCAATGGCTATTGAGATATAGAAAAAGTCACTCTGCTTGAGTGACAGATTGTAGAGGCTGCATGAGGCAGCGGGGGTGGGGGGGTGGGGGGGTGGGGGTGGCTCCCTACACAGTGTGTAGGCAGCTTGGACAATCAGAGTCTCTTCTCATCAACAATTGTTACTATTTATATGAGGCCCTCCGAGTCTTCTAAGTTTCAGGAGCTTTATAACTCTTCTAAGTTTCACTCACTTTCTGGAACCCCTCTTTTCTCCTTGCAGTGGGGAGAAAGAGATTTTTCAGTTCAGAAGAAATAGCTACACAAAGCACGCTCATCCTATTGGTGACTTAAAAGCTTGATTTTTTTCTTGTGTTTTATTAAGCTGCCAAGAATATTAAATATTACTATTTCACAAAAGAGAAAAGCAAAGCCATTTAATCATGTATACTTGAGTCACAATTTTCTCCACGCTCTACATGGAAGTTATTTGCCATTTAGATATAGAAAGACATCTAAAAGGAGTTTTAAAGCAATAATGAAAATGTAGAACAATGTGATTTCTCATTATAGACAGTAGTTTTTTGTCAGAGATTTTCTCTCAGTAATTATGAAATCAGAAAAATATAATAACTCAGTGATATAAACTGACCAGTAGTGTCTCCACTAGATAATAAAAAAGAGCAAAAGAAAGAGATATAGGTATATGAAACAACTCTGCTTATTCCCTGAACTATAGTTTCTTATACATACGCATCAAATATACACTTCCTGGGCTAAGGGTGTATGTACTTCAGCCACAGAGTGCTTGCCTACCAGCAAATAAGAAGAAATGCATGAATAGGTTTATTCTGATGTGTCAAGACTCAGAAGGGAAACTAGTCAACAGACAAAGGGGCAGAAAATTTGTGATGTCTTTACAGTGCACATTTTGATTCAAGTTGGAGGTTTTTATAAAAGATATGTTAATGTAGGCTTAAGCATAAGGGTTAGGAGAAAAGAGGTGCTCAGAAGAAAGTCAGAGATAAGGGCTCCTCCAGTGGGAACTGCCCTTGTTGATTTTATTATGGAGTTGCTGCAACTGGGTTTCTATGTAAAGGTATTCTAATATGCTAAGGGACAATTCAGAAATGTTAATGAGGGCTTGGGGTTTGGTTAACAAGTTAGAACAATTTTGGGTAATCATAACTTCAAGTCTGAAAAAATAGGACAGAACAACTTCAGGGGCAATAATTTATGCCAATAACTGATAAAGTATTTAAGCTACTGCTGTGTTACATTTGTTTGGAAATGAGGAACAAAATAAACTAAATCAAATTTATCAAACAGCCCAAGCCATCAGTTTATATAAATTTTATGTCAGCCTGCTTCGTCAACTTTGGATTTATCATACTGTAACCTGGCCGTGGCCTGGCTCTGCTCTGTTTCTGACTGAAACATAGTCTGGGCTCAGAAACCCCAGTTTGTCATGTGCCCAGGACCCCACATAGAAAACTTCTTTCCCTAACTCCAGTGGCAGGTAGCCTTGGAGGATGAAGGCAGTGAGCTGAAAACTCTGTTCACTGCTCCAGGGCCTCTAGATCTCCTTGGGGCTCTCAAGAGAGCCCACATGATCCACAGATCTAAAGCACTTGCTTACAGGATCCCCACCATAACCAGAACATTTGAGACTGTTGTAATCAGTAGCTAAGATTTGATGGCCCCCATGAGTGGTTTCAGTGAACAAGTCAGGTGATTGATTGCAGTCAATATGATGGAAATGAAGAATTTTACCTGTTGAACCACTTGAGATCCTGTTTTATCTAAGCACCAACTGTCCCTTTTCTTTGAAGTCACATGAAGTCCTGAGTTATATTTGCTAGCCTCCTATTAAGGTAAATATTTGTACCACCAAATATTTCATGAGTTTTATGAGACTATCTGTGATATCAAAAATACTCTAAGCTCATCCTAGGAACCATATGATGCAAGGTGGAAAGTATTGAGCTCCTGAAGTAGCTGTTGGCTATTCAATGGCATTTCCTTCTGAATTTTGTCTAAAGGCATATAAACTATTGTAAGTGAATATATGTGCATGTGTTATATTCATAAATATGTCACTCTACTTTTGAACTTTATGTTAGAAAATATCTATATCCTAGCAACAGATTTACTTTAATGCCTATTTCTTGAAAGGCCTTCTTAGCCATTTCACAGTAGTAAAATAGACTTTTAATTTTCAAAATTGGAAGACTTCTTATTTGTAGTAACAGATAAGATCACAATAGATACTGTTTCATAAATATATATATATATATATATATATATATATATATATTATTCAGTTAACCTCTCAAAAACAAGCTTTCAAAAACCTTTTGACTTACAAAAATGTTTCCAAGGTAGACTGACCATTCCTCGAAACTCTATCTCCCTACATAACAAGTTTGAAGAACTGTTTTCTTCATGTTTGTGTGACTTTTGTCATTTGTTTTAGATTTTTGTTAGTCAGTGACTTATTTGCTTTTACTGTCAGATTTGTGATCCAGGGTCTCACTGGACATGAGCTTATAATCCTCCTGCCTCAGTCTTCTGAGAGCAGAGAACACCAGTCTGCACCACAAGACTTGCATGCTTAACACAAATTTTTAAGTGAACATGAACTGTGTTGTAGACTTTATACAGACATCACCAGACCTTACAGTAATGTATTTCTTCCTGCTTCAGGTAAGGCAGGATGTTGCATATCAGTTCCCAGTCCTTTCATTGGTTGTGACCTGAATCAGTGTCTCTATTATACTTCAAGATCTCAAATATTTAGATATTCAGGAAGAATATCCAAAATTGATGGAACCTGTTTGTAACATATCGAAGGTGCATGAGAACACCGTGACCAGTGATGTTAACATGGTATTTTTTTTTTAAATTGGATATGAGTTACTTTTCTTGTTTCTGCATTACCTTGACAACAGCAACAGACAGGATTTAGGCTCACAGTTCAAAGTATACAGGGAATGGAGAGCTTAAGATCACTAGGGAGAGTGTGTGGGAAAAGAACTTCCCCTCAGGGTCTGGTCATCTCATGAAGGAGTAGAAGGGAACCGAGATATCCAGGAGATAGATGTGTGGTGGAGAATGGACTTTGCAGTTCCTTCTTGAGTGGCTCATGGTGTACTTCTCTTTGGGTCCAAGGTAGCTGTGCTGTGTAGGACTTACTTATTTCCAAGGATTTGTTGAGAATCCCATGAGAAGCTTGACCTGGACACTTTGCAGTTTTTTTTTTTTTTTTTTTTTCGAGACAGGGTTTCTCTGTGTAGCTTTGCGCCTTTCCTGGAGCTCACTTGGTAGCCCAGGCTGGCCTCGAACTCACAAAGATCCGCCTGCCTCTGCCTCCCGAGTGCTGGGATTAAAGGCGTGCGCCACCACGCCCGGCTCACTTTGCAGTTTTAAACATTGTAAATGTTTTTTCCCACTAATTAGGTAGCATAATTACATAAAGTTGAGCTTAATGGTTTATTTCCCAAACTTAATCCCACCACCCACCTCTCCAGATGTACTGGACACGTAGGGATCTATGTGGAGATGGTAGAGGAGACACGTGAAGGAATCTTAGAATGAGTGACAACAGTCAGAGCACTAGCACTCAAGAGGG